TTTCATGCAATAAGATGAAAACATTTAATTTCTCAAATTGGGCTTAATTCATTTAGATGAGTATATTTTTCTTAATAGAAGTGGTGTTCTGATGAACACCAGGTCAAGTTCAACATCGTTATGCTCTTAAGACAAGGCTTGAGGCATATGGAACCGGATTTTAGAGGCTTTTTGATGGATGAGGCAAGAAATTTCTTAACAGGACGGGGTAGAGATTGACTACAGTGTGTAACATCTTGCCTTGCTAATTATGCTGATTGACAATTGATCATCTCTGATTCCTTATGTCTTGGGGATGTTGAAGAAACTGGTGGGTGGCCTTTGTAGACGCTATTATTGCAGCTATGACAACCACTTCAATAAGTCAACTATATTAATGAAACTACATTAAATGTGCCTTGTTTTGATTAACCCTTCTTCGTCCATTCCCAGTGACTCACTAAACTCCATTGATTGTTGCTCTTTTTATTTATTTTATTTTATTTATTCATGGTAGACATAGAGAGAGAGAGAGGTGGAGACACAGGCAGAGGGAGAAGCAGTCTCCATACCAGGAGCCTGACACGGGACTGGATCCCGGGTGTCCAGGATGGCTCCTTGGGCCAAAGGCAGGTGCCAAACCGCTGAGCCACCCAGGGATCCCCTGATTGGGGTTTTCAAAACCTCTCTTTATCCTTTCCTCACCACCACTGATGGGATGACTGTCAGAAGTCTCCTAGGTGGCTTTCTTTTTTCTTCTTTTAATTGTGAAGCCCTCCCCACACCCACAGCTCTTGGCAAGGGTCACCAGAGAGCTCCTAATCACCTCACCCCACTTTCCTCACGGAGAGCCTCCAAATGCTTCTTGTTGCTACTTTAGGAATTCTAAATTTCTCCATGAGACTTTCAGGAACAGCAATGACAGGGTCCCTCTTTCTTTTTATTTTATTTTATTTTTTATCTATTCATGAGAGAGAGAGTGTGAGAGAGAGAGAGAGAGACAGAGACAGAGAGAGACAGAGACACAGGCAGAGGGAGAAGCAGGCTCCACGTAGGGAGCCCGACATGGGACTCGATCCCAGGTCTCCAGGATCACGTCGGGGCTGAAGGCAGCGCCAAACCGCTGAGCCACCCGGGCTGCCCGTCCCTCTTTCTATTCAAAATTATTTCTCACTGCTTTTTAATATACTCTTCTTCTATAATTTAGTAAAGATGAGGGGAAATTGAGAAATGCAATGAGTTGGGAAAGAAGAAGTTAATTTGCAGTCTTTGAAGTCCAATTCCTTCTGACCTCGTCTCACAGATAACTGTGAAGAGTTAGGTTAGGAGAGAGTTACTACTTGCCCAAAGCTAGAAAGCTGATCAGTGGAGCTGGGATTTTGACCTAGGTCTGTCTGACACCTTTCCTTTTCCCAATATCCCATCCACTGTGCTTAGGCAAGCTGCCCCCTCGCTCCCCGACCTCTACCAGCCGCACCTGAAATGCCCCTCTTTCTGCCTCACTTCCAAGATTCAGTTCCCAACACAGCCTATCTGACCACTCCAGATCTCCCTAAGCATCTCTGGCTGAAACTACCTGAGAACTTAGCCCCTGACCCCCAAACTAGGTAAGGTGCCCCTCCTCTGTGTTTCCATGACATCCTGCTTTCATTATATTACATATATTTTAAAAATATGTTATTTATTTATTCATGAGAGACACAGAGAGAGGCAGAGACACAGGCAGAGAGAGAAGCAGGCTCCCTGTGGGGAGCCCGATGGGGGACTCGATCCCAGGATCCCGGGATCAGGACCTGAGCCAAAGGCAGACACTCAACCCCTGAGCCACCCAGGTGCCCTATACTACATATTTTTTAATAAATGTTTTTATTGATACATCACAAAGTGCATATATCATAAGCAAAAAACTTGATGAAATATCAAAAAGAAAAACCTCTCCCTGAAATCACCAATCAGATCAAGGAATCACCAGCAGGCAGAAGACCACCTCTTCCCTGTACCCTCTTGATCATTTTCTCCACTCCCCTTCGCTCCCCAAAATCATACCCTGACTTCTATAGAGATTCATCTTGTTTGCTTGCTTTCCAATTTTATATAAATTAAATCATACAGTCTGGTTTCTACATTTTTTTGAGATATTCCCAGTTGTTTTATGTAGAGATTATTCATTCATTTTCACTGTAGTATAGTATTCCATTATATGAAGGCACACTGCCTTATTTTACTATTGGTGGACATTTTGAATCTTTCCCATTTGGGGATAATATGAATAGTATTACTATGAACATTATTGCAAAATTTTTATTGAATATATGTTCCTTCTTTGGGGTATAAACCATGGAGTGGAACTGCTAGGTCATAAGCTATCCATATGATCATCTTTAGTAAATAGTGCCATAGAGTTCTCCAAAATGGTTGTGCTAATTTATGCTCCCAGTGCAAGATCCTGTATTTCCAGCTGCTCTTCGTCTTCATCAACAACTGATAGTGTCTACCTTATAATTGCAAATCCCATCCCCTTTCTCCCTCTCTGCATAGCATGACACCTACAAGGTATCTTAGTAAAAGTCTGATGAAATAATAAGTGAATTAATAATAATAATAAGGTAACACACAATAGCCTGCTCCTATACCTGTTGTCATCTGTTAGAACAGCATAATGGTTATAAGCACAGGCTTTGGGGACAGGCCATCATGATTTGCCCTCTAACTTCACTACTTACTAATCAGCAAGTTACCTGTCTGCTAGTCTGTTCACTTTGACATCGTGGGGTTGTTCTGAAGACTTAAAGAGACTAGACTGCACACTTAGAATAATGTCTGGTATATAATAAGAGCTCAGTAGTCTTAGCTATTTGTGTTCTTATCTAATGCTAAAGGTCTGCACTCAGACTTCCTACAAATAGAATCAGTTAGTATAAGAATCTTTGGCATGCCCTCTGTGAAGCCTGCTCCAGGCAGCTGACCCCACAGAAGCCTCTGCACTTCTGAAGTTCTCTTTATCCCCATTCAGCACCTGCCATACACCAGGAGTAGGTACCATGTCTCCCCAAGTAGATGGCAAATTCCCTAAGTACAGTGACTGAGTCTTCATGGTAGCAGTGGTTTCAAAGTCCCATTTTAACTCATGGGGATGATAGCTGAATACCTTCCCCCAAACCTGTTGTTGAACAGATCCATAGGGAGAGAGCAATGGAGCAAGTGTACTGTCCCCTTTTGCCAACACCATGCTCAAATGTTGTTCAAATGCGAGCAGGGATATACTTTACTCTCATAAAGATACCGCTGCATGTATGTGACTTGATATCACAGTACTTAGTAAATATTTGTTCTTTTTTTTAAAAAACTGATCCCTTGTTCTTTCTTGACTTCCTTGTCCTTGCCTTGTTCCCATCCCACCCACTTGTGTTTGATCTAATCTCCCATTTGTGTGACAACGTTTGGGATTCCTCTGCTCTTATCAATTCCTAAGGAACACAATGAGATCTTCTACAGTGATGGACCCAATAAACCAAATTTCTACCCTTAAAAAAGCAAAAAGCTCTGTAACCCATGACTAGCCCCTCTGACTCATCTATAATTAGATTGGAGACTCCCAGCCTGCAAGAACTGTGTTCAGATAAAAATGTGATTTAAGTTCTCTTTGTTCAAGAAGGAATTAGTAACTGTTATTGATAATGAGGATGAGATTAGCAGAAAGCCTCCCCATTAGAGCTGGTATCAGTCTTTATTAGGAAAATGCAGGCTATAGATTCTCTGTCATTATAGCTGACTTTGGCATCTGGGTTTGGTAGAGGATTCAATGTGTAGCCAGTGCCCATAGGTCCAATAGCATCTCACATGCACAGCTGGAGCCCACCCTCAGCAAGAAGTCATTAACTCACTTTGATCCCCTTCCTTCAGTGGATGACAAGGAAAGAATGAAGTCATCTCCAAACACTTGTTCAGCCCTTCGAAGTCTTGGGAGGAAGGGGGCTGTGGTGGTGGTGGTGAGGGGATGAATGTGCAGAGTGAGATGTAAGAGCCATGATAAAAGGGAAAACGATCACAGCTTTCCTGGGGAAATCCCTGTGAAAATGGAGAGGCTGTGGAGAGTGCAGTGGGCTTAGAGTTAAGGCAGCAGCCCATCAGCTGTTGGAGGACTCCCTATTTGTCGGGAATTTGTGTGAAAGGCCTAGAAAAGTGGAAAAGTACAATTTGGTTTCAAAATGATGATCTCTTAATATCCTAATATCCTCCCTTCTACGTTAGATATTCCAGTGGCCTCTGTGCACCAGACCCAGAGTGGTCAGGGCTAGCCAGTGCTGGGTGCATGCCAGCTCAAGAGGCTTCTTCTAGTCTAAGCCGGGGACTGGCTCCTCGGGGGTCCTTCTGTGAGCTGGCACCAGCTTCCATTCAGCTCTGGGTACCCTCAGACACAAGTCCTGCCAGCTCAGCTTCTCAGGAACATACTCATTTAAGACAAACACCCCCACCCTCTTTAGTGGCATTCTACTCACAGGCAATTGTCTTGACTTCCATTTCAACATTTATGGAAAAAGTCTCTCTTTTCCATTAGGCTCTTTAAGGGCAGAGATGTGTCAGCTTTGCCCACTGCTATATCCCCAGCATTCAGGGCAGAACTCAGCCCAGAGTAGGCACTCAAATTAGTTGTTGAAGGAATTACCTGTTACTTTAGGCAAGCCAAATGTCAGGACACACAGCCAACTTCAGAGGGTAGGCAATAAATAGAAGGAACACTGCGCTCCATGGCCATCCTCGTGAAATGGATTTATTTGTACATTGAAAAGGGATTGTTTGGATGGATTTGTGAATGACTGACATAAAATACTAAGACCTCTAATATAAAGTGGCTTTAAGACCACTCTATACCCCCCCGAATTCTGAAGCTGCTACTATTGGAGGCAAATCACTGACCTGCAAATTACAGCAGCATTTCCCAGGTTTTAAATTTTTAAATGGACCCATTATTACCTTTCCCCACCCCAACCGAGATATACAAAATTACACACATGACACAATTTATGTAAATATTTTTCAAGGTTTTATTGCAAACCAAAGTTGGTTTATCACACACAAGAAAAGTTGTGTGGTGGGGTGGAAGGGGCGGGAAGAATTGTACATATTATAACCATGTTAATTACAGTACATTAAAATGTTGGTTTACATTACAAATAAGCCTGTAAGTTTAAATATACTAGTGTTATAACCCAATGTACAGACTTTCTTTATACAATACATACACTTATCAGGAATGCAAAAAAAAAAAAACATAAATAATGCCCATTTTACAGGTGACATTTTAAACAATGAAAATACCAGGCTTTGACCGACAACTGGGGCATTGGTCCATAAAAACCCTTTCTAAAAATAGAAATATTTGTAGCAGCAATGCTTTCTTTAAGCATCTGGATACAAGTCATTGCAAGACCATTTTCAATAAATTTTAGTTATTAACTGTATCTTACAAAAAAAACGGTCTACACATAAATTTATCTTCCAAATATGGAAGAAACAAACAATGTCCCACATTGTAGTGTCCTGCAAGTGTCACATTGATGCTTATAACTAAATCCATCTGTGATCAAGCATACCACACTCATACTACTGTTCACACAGTAAATCCACAAGGAAAAATAAAGAACTGAAACGCTCTGCAATAGGAAAAGCTTTGGAGCTAACACGATCTCATCAGAAAAGGCACATTTCATAAGATTCGTTATCACGGCCCAGACAGACCTTCAGAAAATCCTTCTCAGAACTGCGTCATCCTACTAAGACTACTGCATCTGTCTATGGCGGCACTCAAATGCTCATTTCAGAGATAGCACCATGTTGGAAGGAAGAATAGAAATGAAAACCTCATGAGCTCACTGAGAGGAGGATGTGCTCTTCGAAAAGCTTCCAGCAAACAGTGTGCAATAAGATTGCCAAGATGTGCAAGCTTCCAGAGATGTGCAAATTCTCTTTATGTCCTGTCAGCTGGCAGCTCCGCCAAAAGGCTAACTAAAACACTTAAAAACACACATAAAATCCTTCAAGACCAACCCTCGGACTATTCAGAGGAAAGAGTCCATAGGAGGTGCATAGGAAAAGCCTAGGAAGGCCTCGGCCGCTTCCTTGACGCTGGCTGTGAGGAGGATGCTGTCGGGGGACCTGCCAATGGAGTTGGGGACTGGCTCTTCAGTAAACTCAGGGTCAAAGTGCCGCAGGTCACTCGGTCCACTCTATTGGGGAAGGAAACAAAACAAAACCAAACCACTTAGTGTTAAGAATTCAGGCGGCAGACAGGACGGGGAAATCCTCTCTTGGGCTTTCAAAGCTGGAGCTCAGGTTTCGAGGGGATGCCAGGGAAACCCCCATTGGACCATCCACTTCAAGCATGGAACCCACAGGCCACAGCAAGTTTAAATAACGAGGATAGTGTTCACTTTTTCTCTTTCAGTACTTTTAATTGAGAAACGTGTAGAAAAGTCATGTTAGTCTCGTTGGGACAAAAATTTGACTTTTCATCTAGATAAAATAACGGTTTGTGAATAAAAGTTGTGCCAATTCAGTCCCTGAGGGTCCCCAACCCTCCTCCCCCCACCCACACCGCCAGCCCCAGCGCTGACCTAGGTGCCCTTCGCACCTTCCTATACTCAGAAGAAAGAGATACTCACCACATTTGGGTTGAAAGGGGGAGTAATCTTCTTATTAATGAGATCATCCCAGTTAATTAGGGAGAAGAAGACATGATTCTTAATCTCCATCTGTTGAGGAGAAACAGGAGATTGCTTCAGACACAAGAGATTCAGGGAGGGCAGTGGGGTCTAGCACATTTCCCGGAAGCCCAGGACAGGAGGGGAAGTCACTCACAAAGTCATCCTTGGCGCCCAGCCTCTTTGTCCGGTCTTTCTGCAGGAGGCCCTCCAGGAGGTGTCTGGCGGAATTGGTGATATTTGGCTTCAGCTGGAGCGGCTTGTTCAGAATGTTATCATACATCTCAGCCGTATTGCGGCTGTAAAAAGGAGGCTGAAAGGAGGAGGGACATTGCTGGTTAGCTTTAAGTTCCTACAGCACGCATTACCAACAAAGTCTTGCACCACATTAAGCTAGCTGTGACAAAGTCTTTTCCTTAACAGGCTTTCTTTGCCCCAGATTTTTAAAGTGTCTATCTCACAACTCCTATCCAGGAACGGATCCTAATAAGCCACATTTTTCCTCACACAGGTGCAGGGGGTCCTATCTAGTAAAATGTGAATTTACAAGAAAGAAAAAAAATTCACTAACAGCTTTCTATAGAACACTTACAAAATAACCACTGGGCCTCCTCTCTTATCAGCATGTGATCAGCTTATTCATAGAGCGCAAGACACAATGACCAGTAAGTCCAGATTTTAAGACAATGACATCCTAGGGAGCATTATTAAACCGGGCGTAAGATTCCATGACTCTCCATGTGCTACTCACCAGGCCATAGAGCATCTCATATAAGACGGCCCCCAGGCACCACCAGTCCACGGTCCTGTCATAAGGCTGCTTATGAAGCACCTCAGGTGCGAGATACTGAAACACAAAGCAGGAAAACAGAGCGTTTAGAAGACTGTGAAACCAGGCAATCCCAGGAGTGCACCAGGAGTGCATTTTGAAAGCGTTGAGACCCCGGGGTCACTTGCAGGATGGGTTTCTTTACATTACTTCCTGATAAAAATTGCTGGACTTGGGGAGGCTGACTGGCCAGTTATCGTTCTGATATCTAGGAAGCTGCTGGGCACCCAGCAGATAGCTTACTTGAGAATTTACAACCTTTTATGACATGGCTTTTGCGAACAGCTGGTCCTAATTAAAGCCACACGAGGCCTCAGGATTTCTCATGCTGCATCAAACAGAAAATATATTTTCCTTGCTCTGAATTGGACTGAAAAATCTCTGAGAACAATTTACCCTTTTGGTAATTTCAGTATAATTGTGCTTGGCTCTCCCGGGAAGGGGCAGACCAGGCAGCAAATGCAGAATGCTCCTACCTCGGGCGTGCCGCAGAAGGTGGACGTTGTGCCATTGTGTTCGATGTTCTCCTTGCAGAGGCCAAAGTCAGTAAGGACAATGTGTCCCTGTGAATCCAGCAAAATATTCTCTGGTTTTAAGTCTCTGTAGGAAAAAAAAAAAAAAAAAGAAAAAAAAAAAGTTGTGTAGGTGAATTTCATTTCATAAGAAAGCCTCTGTGAAAATAATAGCTTGGGGTATTAGAAGCATTTTCAATTCACTGTAGCTGTACAGTGAATAAAAAGGGAGTCCTTGTTCTGCTAATCTATTCTGGATTTGGCACAATCCTAGCTGGCTAGTTCCCTGGAGGCATGGGGTCAAGACAGTTCACATGCTGGGGGGTCCAGCTATAGGTGACCAAGCTGTACCAAATACAAATGGTTTTAAGGCTCTGTCAGAGGCGGGGCTCCGTCTCCTTCACACCTGGGAAGGTAACCTTGAGTGCTCTCCGGCGGCTCACCTATAAACGATGTTCAGAGAGTGCAGGTAACCCAAGGCACTGGCTATTTCAGCAGCATAGAAACGAGCCCGTGGTTCCAGGAAGCAACGCTCCCTCTGGAGATGGTAGAACAACTGCAGGAGACGGGACAAAGTTAGTCTGGGTTGCCAGGGCCTGATAACAATGCATTTAATTAGTCTTGACATATATAGCTAAAGAGGACAATTGCAGGAAGTGGCCTTAAATAGTCTATTAACTATTTGAAAACTTCAAGTTAAAGGAAAGGCTAATTCTGGTAACTCCCCCCTGCCCCCCAAACATCATTTAAAAACTTTCCTCTCAAACTAAACCAAAAATTCCATATGCAGACACCCAAAGGTCAGCTCATATTCCCACTGCTCACCTCTCCACCGTTGATGTAGTCGAGGACGAAGTACAATTTGTCAGCAGTCTGGAAAGAGAAGTGAAGGCCCACCAGGAAAGGGTGTTTCACATTCTTCAGTAGAACATTCCGTTCCGACATAATATGCTTTTCCTAGAAAAAGGACAATTAAGATTTAGTGGCAAATTTCAACTTGGTACCAAAATTCCAAGGTAAAACCACTCAATGAATGTCTATCCCCAGCTGCAATCCATCAAGCACACTTCGTACCTCCTTCTTTTTCAGGATCGCTTTCTTCTGTAAAACTTTGACTGCATAGAATGCCTCCTCTGCCTTGTGTCTTGCTAGAAGAACCTGTAATTTCAATAAAAAAAAAAATCATTTTGCTATCTACAGGGAGAATATAAAATGAACACATGAGAGACTATAAATAATGAGGCCTTTAAATCTGAAATTACCTTCCCAAAACTGCCTTTCCCAATCACTTTCAAGAAGTGAAAGTCAGATGGTTTAGCATGAGGATTGGATGATGGTCCCAAGTTGATTTGCTGAGAAGGACTTGGCTGGAAAAGAAAGTATTTTCTTTTAATATCCTTGCTTCAAAGGAAGACAACAATAAAGGACAGGCCGTGTAAAAAGATGCTACATTTGCAAATGGCTGAGGCAAGTCACCACACAGCACAGAACCCCAACCAAGACTATTTTTCATCCGAACACATTTCTATTTTCATATGGGCGTATGGAAATTGTACACAATCGTGTTGTGTGTCTGGATAGAGCTTTTAGGCAACAGGCCTTTTAAAATACTTCACTGACTCAATAGTTAAGTAAGTGCTTATGTCACTTGTTATGCCATTAACTAGGCATTCCTGCCTTGACACTAATTTCTAGAAATGCTATTGTAATCCATCCATGTAGTTATACTGACTCATTTACGAGATTCCTCTACAGGAGCATCACAAAAGGAGAATACTTACCGGGGGGGAAGGGTTGGCATTCATAAGCTCAGGCTCCTGAGGTTGGGAGATTTTCAAAATGGACTGAACTTCGGGGCTGCAGAGAAAGAAAGAATTTAGAATCTCCAGAACTCTCACCAGGGGGCACACCAACACCAGTCGGAAGTTTCTGGCTCAACTACCCCTCCCCCCCCCATACATACATACATACAGCTCGAGGGTCTAAAAACACCCAAAGAAATTACTGAGTCAAAGAAAATTTTAGCCAAAGAAAAGAATAAATCCAGTTAGATACAGGGATGAGGGCTGTTCTTCATGAAAACAGGGGCGAATTGGGCAAACATGAAAATTCTATCTTACAGCTCTAGGACAGGTCCAATGAGCAAATTAGTTTTTATGTTTAAGAGGTTTCCGGTTGGAACTTACAAAAGGGCTCCCACCCTCGGGGAAGCCTTGGGCTTTCGGATCGATGCCCCGGGGAGAATGTGTCTTCACTTCGGGTAAACAAACTCTACCACTTACTTTTGTTTCTCCCAATCCTCCCCCCAGCACTTACTGTTTGCATGCATAGGAGTTATTGGCAATCTTCTGAATAAAGTCGTTCAGGCCCATCCTCCTCTGTTTCATGAAAGCTGTGAAATAAAGGAGAAATGAACGTCTGGAGGCTTCGTGACGTCCGACGCCGCACAAAACGGATGCGCGACCTTAAAAATAAGACTTGCTCGTCGCAGAGCCCCGAGTCCCGCACAGCTGCGGCACTCACCGATGAGAATCGCTACCATCCCCCTCATCCTGGAGTAGGTGAGGGCGCCCCTAGCAGCCTCGGTTTTCACCGTCATCCCCGCGGGGAGCGCGCAGCGGGTCGGCGGCGGCGGCGGGAGACCGGCTCGGCCCTCACTGCCCGCGCGCCGCCCGCCCGCCGCCTTATGAGCCCGCAAACCCGCCTCGGCCCCGCCCCGCCCCGCCCCGCCTCGGCTCGGCCCGCCCCGCCGCGCCCCGCCCCCGCCGCTCGCGCGCCCCGGGCGGGCTGCACCGCGGACGGCGGCGGGGGCGGGCGCTTGGGCCCCGGCCCCGGCCCCGGCCCCGGCCCCAGGGCGAGCCCGAGCCCGAGCCCGAGCCCGAGGCGGGGGCGGGGGCGGGGGGCTCGGGGCCTGCCCGGAGGCCCCGCGCGGGATCGTTATCTGGCTCTGCGCTCCCGGGCGGGCGGGCGGGGGGAAATCGCCGGCGGAGGGGGCGGGCGGGGAGGTGGAGTCCGGGGTAATTTTCCACGTTTCTCAACTATTCCGCGCGGCTGAGGAACTCGGAGTCGCGGCGCTGGGGCGCTTTCCGCTCGGCGCCCCGCCGGCCGGTGGCTCTGCCCCTTCCCTCCCGCACCCCGCACCCCCGGCAGCCCCCGCACCCCGCGGCCGCGCGCACCGCCAGCCCCCGACGCCCTCCTCTGCGGGGGCTCCGCGGCTCCGGGACCCCGCGCGCTCCCGCCGCCCTCCGCCCTCGCCCTCCGCCCTCCCAGCCCGCGCCCCGCCGCCCACCCCGGTCCCCCGGGCCGGAGCCGAGCGGGGCGTCCCCGGGGGCGGCCGTGGCGCTTACCCAGGCCGGTCAGGAGGAAGGACTCGCTGCGTTTCTGCGCCTCCGCCCTCTTTTTGTGGCGGGGCCGGAGCAGGGGCTCGAGCCGGGCCCGGGCCAGCGCGCCCTGCATCTCCCCGTGGCCGCGGCGGCGGGCGCGCAGCGGGCGAGGGAGCCGGGGCAACACTGACGTTTCCTTGAAGGAGCCGCCGTGACTCAGGCCGGGCAAGATTTCCTGCCCCGAGACCCAAAACAAACAAGCGGCCCTTGTGCACGGCCGAGCCGCTTCCGAAAACGCCTTTTTTGTGCCTCTGGCCCAAGCCAAGCGAGGCTGCAAAATCCCAGCACTTGGAAGCGGAGGAAGGAAGGAAAGAGAGAGGGAAGGGGGAGGGAAGGGTCAGGAATGTGCAGGGGAGGGGGCGGAAACAAAGGTCGCTCGGCGCTAACGGGGACACAAAAGTACGGTCCGCATTCCACTTTCCCCCCTAACCTTTGGGAACGTTCTGTCCGCCCCGCATGTCCTTTTTTTTTTTTTTCTTGCATCTTTAATCCCCGCCGCGCCGGGAACACGTGCGGAAGTGGCAGTTGGGGAGCGGTGGCTCCGCGCCGGGCGCCGACCTGGCGTGACCCGGGGCAGCGGCGACTCCCCGGTTCCCCCTCCAGCTGTCTCACCTGAGAACTCTGCGGGGTCTTGACCACCCTTACCGTGTCCTCGCCCTCCCCACCCTCCTCCGGTTAATTCCAGGGCTCCTTCAAGTCCCTGATAAACTGGGACTGGAGACCTCGGGCAGGAGCGGCCGGTGCCTGCGCTCCAGCGCGCGGAGGGCCGAGGGCAGCGCGGCCGGGGACCCCGCCGCTGGGGGCGCCCGGGCGCTGCGGTCGGACGCGGGCGCGAGGACTCTGGCCGGCGCCGGGCCCGCAAGCCACGAGCAGAGCAGGCGACGGGGCCGGGGAGGGAGCCGGCTGGCGGCAAGGCACGAAGGCTCGCGGGGCCAGGTGCCGGCGCTTGCTGGTGCTGTCCGCGGTGGCTGCCCTGCCGTGACCCCTTTACTGGCAACGGCCCTGCCATTTTTGAGTTGCGTACTGGGTCTGACACACTCCGAAATACCAGCTGTCAAACCGAGAATAGCATGGGAAGCCGCTTTCCTTTCGTCCTGGGCAGGGGTTGGTTTTGCAGGCACAACCCCCTCGTTTGCCCTAATATGATCTGTAGCCTCAGCTGCTGCTTGGTTTGCTCAGTTGCAAAAGCCCCAAACTCGGAGAGGGGCTGGAAAATTTTGCTCAGCTTCCACTCTCAAAAAAAAAAAAAAAAAAGCACTTTTCAAGGCCTGAAATTGACGTTCCAAACTCAAGCAAGGTTTAGAATACTCCAAATCACAGTAACTGGCCCATTACTGTTTCCTCTTCCATGGTACTGCCAGTGCGCCCTCCCCCCCGCCCCACCCTATGTTCTGTTCCATTCCAGCCCAGCCGGGCCCTGCTCTCCCACCATTCTGCCCCCTTGTAAGACAGCAAATTTGGCAAAGCCTGCCCAGAACACACCAACCTGCACCGAGATTTCTGCTTGTTTGTTCTTAAAATATGAAACTGAGAAACCTTCATCAGACACCCTCCCCTGCATCCCCACCTCCTGTGCCATCTCCAGGCCAAGGAGCCTCAGATCCTCTGAAGCATCTTCGTTTTAGCCATCCTCTCCAAATTATAGTAATACAAGTACACAAACCTTTCAAAGGGGATTTTATAGCTTCCTCTTTCATTCTTCAGGTTGCCTAAGACATGAAGGTTGGGGATTACTTTCTGGAGGCAGGAGGTAGAGCTCAGTTATGGCTGGAATAGCCTCTCTGCTAAGGTGCCTGATAAGGCTGGAAGCTGAGATGTCAGGGAGCAGAGTCAGGCAACTGTCCTGCTCTGTTATGCACCCCACTTTATATAAAGGCAATTTACATACAGGAAGGGAGCAAGCTGCAAAGTTCAACACTGGGCCATTTATTCTCTCCATTGCAACATCACTCAGAAAATTACAGTCATCAGCGTCCTGAGTTTATTACACCCCCAGCAAGACACACACGAAATGTAACTTGACTGATTATCATCACAAACCAGTCCAGAAAAAATTCAAAACACATGCACAGTGTTCATTTTTTCAAAGAAGCTCTGCCACATGCATTCCAGGAGGAACGTGGAATTCAAGTTAGAGGGCTCTAAGTGGGATACAGAAGAGGCACAACCGTATGATTTGTGGTTGGAACAGAAAAGGAACGTCTGATGTTCTTCTTCCTCCCCCTACCCTAATGTTCAGCAGCTGGAGACGGACGGTCTGTTAAACTTATCATTTAACATAGAGAATCAAGTTGTTGAGACTGGCTTTTCTTCCAACCGGATACCTGAAGGGTGGAGCAGGCGCCCCCAGTTCTGTCCCAGCAACCTACTAAGACTTCCGAACAGGAAGGTGACACACAGCAGTGGCGGGTGGATGGGGTGGGTGGGTGGGGGGGGAGACGGGGCCGCGGGAGTGGGGGGGATGGTGTGTGACGCGCTCCAGTTCACTCTGCGCAGGCTTTGGGTTACCCTGTGGCCACTATTCAAACGCTTGATCTGTTCTTCCTTCCCGTCGCCAGCCTGCTTCTTTGGTCCAGAGAGTCTTCCTACCGGGAGGAATCCGGCCGGCCTCTTTCCTCTGACTCCCAAGTAGCAAAGTGGCCAGAGTTGCGTCACCAAATTCTGCTTGTAAATGCAGCCCAGAGGGCGATCGTGTTCTCTGGCAGAAGCACTCTGGAATGCACAATTGCCCCTACTTCTCCTGAGGTTTAATCAGTTCCAGGTAATTTCTCTACAGCACCTTGTGCAGTCACAGAAAATATAGACGGCTTGATAGGAGATAGGGTAATTACTTCCCCACTCCCCCAAGCCAGTAATCTCATTTATGCCTCATAGTGGGGAAACTGCAATCAAAACACTCAAATGGCAATGATTCACCAAGATGTAAAGTTTGCACTGAAACAAATCATTTTCCAATGTATGTGTATTTTAATGCTTCAGAAAATCGTTTAGTTCTTCTACTCTAATTTTCCTTAATGGTGGACTGTAAATATGGAAACTTTAAAGCTTTATTAAGATATGACCTTTTTTCATTTAATACAAGGCCCAGTAAATAAATTCCTGGTATTTCTCAGCATATTAAAGGAGATGCTTTGAAAAATATTTTTAAAGGAAGTATTTATTTATTTTAGAGAGAGAGGGAGAGAGAGAGAGAGAGAGAGAGCAGGGAGACGGGTGCAGAGAGAGAGAGAGAGGAAGAGAGAATCCTCAGGCCAACTCCCTGCTGAGCACGGAGCCCAAAGCTGGGCTCAATCCCATGACCCTGAGATCATGACCTGAGCAGAAACCAAGAGGCAGACGCATAACTAGTTGACTGAGCCACCCAGGCACCTCTAAAAATATTTTTAGAAGGATTTAGCTCTTTGACTACTTAAGTGTGTCAGCTGCGTGTATCTTCTTTCCCTAGATACAATATCTTCCATTGATAACGGCAATATACTTGTTCTGTATTGCCCAAAGTGCCAAAAATTCTAGAACAATTATGTGCACAGTTCAGGTTCCCATGCTTATTGATTCATTCGTTGATGCTTATAGAATCCTTTTTCTGAAGCATCACCAAAAAAAGTACATAGAAACACCAAAAAACATAATTATTACTCTAGAGAGCAACTGCATGGATCAGTTTTCGTTAAAGGTTGTCAATGAGTGCGTACCCCCCCTTTTTTTACAGTATTCATCAACAAAAAAATGATGACAGCAGATGAGTTTATTCATGAGAGCTGTTATAGATAAGTAAACGGCAATGGTGGTTAAATAGCTGTCTGTAGATCACAGATTCTATAGTGATTATTACGTTCCGGACTCCTTAACTATCAAAAGTAACATGCGCAAAGAGGGTAAGAATGTGCCTGAATAGATAACTAAGAGAAGAACACATTACTTCGAATAACGGTGTTCAATGCTATTAAAATGCACAAAACTACACACTTTATTTATGCAGGGCTTATTTCTTTTCCAAGACAGTGGTTTTGAATAAGAACGAACCCTGGAATAGAGTTTTGTTAAATAATATACACATGGCTGTCTGGTATGGAGGCCTTAGGTTGTTTTCTCTCACACACTTTTCAGCTATTGAGGATTAAGCAATTATTGTTATTTTTCTTCTGAGTTGCAGGTGACAGGCAAAACTTACTTTTGAAACCAAATTTATCTCCTTCCTATAACCCTTCTCTGTCCCTGAAATTCATTGCCATACCTCTCCCCACATCCCCGCCCCCTAGCACTGGTTTGCTCTGTGGTCCTGCAAACTCTGAAATGTTGCCTTCCACCCTCCACCCCACTAATGCGCTGCTCTCAGCTAATCTCCACAGGAGGTATTGACCTGATTCTCCTTCCCTTACTCCCTCCTTCCTTCCATGCCTCTCTTTCTCCCTCTCTTCCACCCTCCCTTGCCTTTGTTCATGGAAGCATTTTTTTTTAAAGATTTATTTATTCAGAGAGAGAGAGAGACAGAGACAGAGACAGAGACAGAGACAGAGACAACAGGCAGAGGGAGAAGCAGGCTCCATGTAGGAAGCCGGATGCGGGACCCGATCCCGGGTCTCCAGGACCACACCACGGGCTGCAGGCGGCGCTAAACCAATTTAACTAGCACTTATTAGGTATAAATATTAAGCTCAAGGGATACAAATATGAATAATCTCTTTATTTGAAGTTCACAGAAGCGGTCATTCTGAATGGGGGGCACATGCATAAATCATGATACGATAGGATGAAGGTTAAAACAGAGGTCCCAGCAATCTGCCATAGTAAACAGAGGAATATTCTACTGGGGAGAAGCAGCAGACATGTAGTTGTTGGGGAAAGTCTCACAAAGAAATGATATTTGGGCTGATCCTGGAAAAGTCAGCTAGGGACAAGAGAGGAAAGTCATTCTAGGCAGAAGAAAGCACGAGCACCAAACTCTGAGGTGCTATGTAGCACCTCTGGAGTGATTTGGAAATATGTCCCTTACTCAGACTTCACACACAAGCAAGACATACAGGACTGTGGCTGCTTCTGCTGCAGTGGCAAAACAGCACACTCAGGTGAAATTAAAAAAAAAAAAAGACCCTAGTGGCATAAATCTGTCTCTCCCTCTCACTGCCTCCCCTTCTCCAACCCCAATACCTATGGAATTAATAATGTCTTAAAAATGTATGTATTTAAAGAACTGCCAAGTATTTGACTGCACAGGACAGTCAGCTCTAGGCATGACTGGAGTTCCTTCATCCATCAACAGATTGTTCTAGAATTATGCTTCAGACACTGCTAGCTGCAGGAGGTACAATGATGCACATGAGCTCACAGAGGGAGGGGTCGGGTGGGAAGTCACCTACAAAGTACACTGAGCCCTACTGAGAAGGGATTAAAAGACACAAGGAAAATTATTCCACCAAGGCTTTTATTTTTTAGTTTATTATTATTATTTTTTCCTCAAGGCTTTTAACCGCTGAGCCACCCAGGCATCCCTACTCAAGGCTTTTAAAGTGACACATTCCAATGTGTTTTGGAAAGCTCATTCAAACCAAAATGTGATTGATAACTATTACCCTTTCAAAGGATATTTTTTTTTTTAAATAGCCCTAAGTCATTAAAAATGAACAAATTTACACACAAAGATATATAAGGGAACGTTGGAATTTGGAATGGGAAATTCACGTAGTTGGAAGAGTATGAACATTTAGGCAAGCATAGCTGTAATCCCGCATAGGGAGTGGCAATCTCACAGCCGCAGTGAATGACCTCAGTGTTCCATACCTGTCTCTTCCGAAAGCCGGCGCACAGGAACGCTGGTGGGGGATAGGGACATGGTTTGGTAGTAAGTTTTTTAATTTCAATCAGGCAAAGCGGCCGTGGTAGCTCTTGACATGGGAGGAATGGTAATCTAGCTAGCAACAAACCAACAGGTCTATAACAGGCTGAAAACTCATCTTATCCTATTTATTTATTTATTTATTTATTTATTTATTTATTTATTTATTTAATTTATTTATTTATTTATTTATTTATTTATTTATTTTTAAGATTTTTGTTTATTTGAGAGAGAGAGATAGTGAGAGAGAGAGAGAGAGAGCACAAGCATGGGGCAGGGAAAGGGAGAAGCAGAATCCCTGCTGAGCAGGGAGATGGATGCATGCGGGGCTCAATCCCAGGACAAGAGCCAAAGGGCCGAAGGCAGACACTTGACCGACCGAGCCACCCAGGCACCCCACCTTACCCCCATCTTTGGGATGTTGTCAATGTCTGATGTAGCATGATCCAATGAGCAATAAATAAAAATAAAAACTAATTATCAACCAGAATACGGCATGCAGGGCGAGGAAGAGCACATATTTGACAGCTTAATATTTGGCTCTCAGGATTGACCTGAAAAATGACTTCCAGGGAATTTTCTAGACGATTATGAAAAATAACACAAGAGTAAATTGGAAAAACTTTTTAAGTCAAAATTCAATATTATCTGCAATTTTCCAAACACAAGACAACTATGGCCTTATGTTAAACATTTGTATTTCAAAAGGCCTCTGTCAACTCAAATATTGATTTGTAATGGTAAAATGGCAGGTATCGAGGTAAGGAAGTCCAGAGAGCTGTGGCCTGCAGAGCCTCTCCCTTGCAGGATGAACGCACACCTGTGCTTACTTTCCCTGCAAGTCCTCAGCGCAGCCCAACATTCGGGCAGCACGGGGGTTGAAATTTCCTTACAAGACGCATCCTTCCCGGGACACACATATTAAAGTTGTAACCTACATGAAGAGAGCAGAAAGGGTTCTCTTTCGCCCCTGCTCTATTTGCAGAGTGCCAAGAGTAAATGAGGAGCCTGGATTTCTGGCACACAGCTTTTGCCAAACTGCAGTGAGACCTGAAAGCTTTAATTTGCTCACTATAAATCTCTCCCCAAATCGTTCCCATTTCTGGCCCTGTAATTTATCTAGGAAGAAGCAACAGAAACTCCTCCCTCCAGAATTGTTTCCTATAAACCCTGCCTATAAATTGCAGCAACAAAATAAGATAAATGTAACAGTAACCAACAGGGGAAAACCAGGGGTAGGATGGCTGGCGGAAGGTTGATGGGGCATCATTTTAACATAAAGCAGTTTAGTGAACTTTCTTTTCATTTCAACCCCGAATGTAAGCTCCATAAACATTTTTGCCACTTTGCTCAGCAAGCTCTGGAGTGTCGGCAAGTTACTGAAGAGGGGGCTCCTCGCGGTCCACGTCAGTCAGCTACACCTGAGGCTCATTATCTGTGAGCTTCTAGACAAGGTATTCTCTAAACCTTAATAATCTGTATAATGGGGATACTAAATATAAATTGCAAAAGTAACTGAAATGGAGAATTTAATAAGTGCCTCACTTAACTTGGGACCCCACATAG